CAAAAAAAGCCCCATTTCAAGACATGGGAATAGATCCTTGTTACTTTCTTTATATTTACAACAAATGTATGTGGGAATAGATCTATCAATCATAGATTGTTATTATCAACTCAACTCAACAAACTTCAGACACTAAGACCATCTCCAATGTTGTATTAGATTGAGCATCAGATTTGAATTTGATGAAAAAAGCCACTTTTTTCCTCTCCAATGGTTTCACCAAACCGATATCAAATTGAGAACGAAGCAAAAGTTTCATCAAACTGAGGATCCGCGTGAGATTTCACTATTTCACTGTGCACTAATGTTGGAGGTGGGGGGCATACCGGTCTACCAGTCGGACGTCCAGCCGGTTGACCAACCGGTCGACCAGCGCATGCATACCTGCTTCAATCTGCTTCAATTTTTGGCTGGCCTGTGAACTGGTTCAAATAGGTAGGTTACTTTTGTGGCACTACGAATAAATTGAAGATTGATATAAATTTAAATTTTCATGAAAATGCAACATGAAAAATTATATCGTATATATATATATATAAATTTTGAGTTAAGAAGGAGTCGTTCTACACCAGCAATTCCAATAACTTACTGTTGGTGTGACAAAGTATTTTGAAAACTTACTGCTGTTGTTGTGCTCTATAAAATATACCAATATTTTAATTTCATTATATCATTACAATTTTTATTTTCTTTGTGAGCTTTAATTTGATAATGTCATTACAATTTCTATTTTGTTTATGAACTTCAGTGTGTATTCTCTGTTTGTCAGGTTCAATTTCTTTGTGAGCTGCAGTTTGATAATAGCATTACAATTTGTTGAAGTTCTAGGCATGATTTGAATTTTTATAGTTCTATGTCATTACAATTTTTCTTTGTAAGCTTCAGTTTATAATATCTGATTTTGAGGTTCAATATATCATTACAATATATTTCACTGTATGAGTTAGATATTGTATCCTACTGAATTTGCTTCAAACTATGGAAGATTTTGAAATGTTTGAGGAATCACAAACTTCATAGCACAACACTGATATTAATTTTATTTCGGAAACTTCATGAGAGCACAACACTGATATTCATTTTATTTCAGAAACTTCTCGTGTTTCTCGTGGTAAGGCGTTCATAATTATAGAAGATGAAACTTTATGTAGCTCTTGGTTGGCAGTCTCTCAAGATCCCATTACTGGTAATAGTCAGACCATGGCTATATTTTGGGAACAAATACTTGTTTATTTTAATTCACAATTGAGTGGTGAATCAAATCGAAACCGTATTTCTTTGTTTCACCGTTGGTCTGTCATGCAAAAGGCAATTAATAAATTCTGTGATTTTCTTGAGCAAATTCAATTGAGACAACGAAGTGGAATAACTGAGGCAGATATGGTAAAGTTTCTTTCTGTTATTAAATATCAATTTTTTTTGTAATGTATACTTGTTATTGAAATTTTTATAATTTTTTTTTTTTGTAGGTCGTTGAAACAAAGCGAATGTCTCATGCAATACAGAAAAAACACTTCACATTTGATACATGTTGGGATATTTTGTGTCGAAGTTGTAAGTGGGATGAATTTAGAACACAACCCAAAAAAACCACACAACATGCTTATCAATGTGCGAATCCACCAACCAAAGATGAGGCTTTTCAACCCAACCAAAATATTGTGGTGCACCAACAACTGACTAATATATCAACACGACCAATTGGTACTAAGGCAGCAAAAGACAAATTAAAGAATCAAACAACTCACGATGGTAGATTTGATGAAATGGCTGCCAACCAATCCAAAATTGTTGAAGTATTATCAACTATCTCCGCTAGAATTGTTGAGCGAGATGAACAAAAGGTGATAGACCGTGAACAGAAGGCTGCAGAGCGTCGAAGAAGGGCCGATGATAGAGAGAAACAACTAAAACTCCTATCTATGATGAATGAAAGAGAACAACGAAATGAAGATCATAAAATAATGTCAATAGACATGACAAATTTAAATCCTATGCAAAGGGCATACTGCGAAGATCTTCAACGAATGACAAATCTTATTTCGAACAACTAATAGATTGCATTGACTATTTCTGTTTTTTTTGGGTAATATTGGTTTTATTATTTAAAAACATTAATAGTGAGTTGTATTGGTTGTATGAGAATTAATTGTATTCATTTTTTTTATAACATATATTTGTATTGATTTGATTTTAACATGCTCATAAATATGTAGTTGGTAAAACATTTCAGTTCACACATTTATTTGCCAATTGTTTTGTGTTTAGTAAAAATTTCTACACATTACTAATGTTCAAATTACTACTAGCAAATAAAGGAAGCTACTATATTATAAAAGACAGAACCACTACATTTATAAAAGAAATTGACCCAACAAAATAACAAAAAGTTGTTAACAAAATACAAAATAACGAAAATACATAATGTAAAAGTACATTCTAAAAACAAACAAAATTCACATAATTTGTTCTTGTCATCCAAGCTGTCATCGAAACACATCAACAGTCATTGTCCGGTAGTAGTGGAGGGAAGTAGTGATGACAAACGTCATTTACGCGATGCTCAATCCTATCCATGCGATTGCTTGCCACTTCATTACGTCTTTCAATGTCCAAACGGAACTCACCAAATTGTTGAATTAATGAGTTTTGCGCAGTGAGAAATGCATCGAACTGAGTACCGAACGAACTGACCTGATTAGCCATTTATTGTTCCCATTGAACGCGCTGATTATGTCATTCTTCTTGCTTGGCCAAAAACTCAGTCCAATATTGAGGTTGTTTAGTTGATGGCATCGCATTGGCATGAGGATCTTCTGGAGTATCATCTGGTGGGACATGTGCATTAAGACTTCCCATTAAATTGTCAGCTCCACCAGCACGGGTCAGTGTATACTCTGAAATGACTGAAAAGATTGTGGTCTTTGTTTCAACTACAAGGCGAACATTAAAATGTTTGAAAATTTTAATTAGAAGTGCCACAAAAAGTAATGACCGCCCCATGAATTGATCAAGATTTGCATACATCATTTCTTTCATTATTATGTAGCACAAATCTATTTTATGGCCAATTTCAAAACAGTATAACAAATAAGCATTAAAATATGGGACAACATCAAAATGTCCTATTTTCGGAGTGACATTTTCTACAATCCACTAGTGGAGAATGCGAAGATAAGGTTTCAAATGTTTTGCTTGTAGATTAGTCCCGCTAAATCTGTTTTCACAAATAGTAGTATATACGTCACTGATATTACCAACAATATTAACTAGGCCAGCCTCACTCTGAAAATGGATATGCATATCCCCTTCCTCAACTCCAATAATTCTTGCTAAAGTAGGGATATCAAACTGAATACCCTTTCCTTTCACATAAGGCAGAAGAGTAAAATTTCCATCTTCTTCATTAGTACCTCTTAGGTAAACATAAAATAAAGACACCAGCCATGGATATACCCTTTGCGGTAAATTAATTAAATTTACCCACCTCATTGCCTTAAGTTTACTAACTAATAGTGGATCATATTGAGATGGCAGATTAACTCTCCTCCATGTTACAATAGGTCGCCTGGAGAAGCTTTCAAAGACTTGTTCATGACTTTCACTAAGAAAATCAGAAGTAGGATAAGCCTCATTTTCAGGCTGCTGTTGTTGGCGTCGTGAAGGATTAGAGCTTTCACCATGTTCTGGTCTGGCTCTTTTAGTTCTAGGCATGATGTGAATATTTGTTCAATTTTAATGGAAATGTGTTAAATATCAAAGGTGAATTAAAGGTGAATTAGAGCTGGCATTCAATGTAAGGAGCTTAAATGGTGTGAAGTGTGGTGTGCAGAAGTGCAATAGATAAGGAGTGCACACTGGGAAAAACAAAAAAAATTAACAGGGCCGGTTGACTGGCCGGTCAACCCACCGGTTGACCAACCGGTTGACCGGTGTTGAAGACTCATGAAATTTAGTTTCTGCTGCTGTTCGGCGTGTTCTTTCTGCTACTATTCGGCTTATTGCTTCAATTGCTTTGGCTTGCTGATTCTGTCGATTAACACTTCCAATATAGAGTTTGTATAGAGTAAATATGTAGTGGAGCAGATTTTGTATAGCATTTCTGTCCAATGTTGAGCTGATATAGAAGGTCAATAAATGAGGTAGGTGGTGGAAGGAATTAATGTGGTTAGTAAATTGGTTTAATGAATTAGTTGGATGGTGGTGTGTGTCATGAGGCATTGACTCATCAAATGAGGTATGCCACATCTAAAAACAAATTGAGTTCTTAAATTTGTATTGTACAGCCTCATTGATTTGTCAAATTAGTAAGGTGTTGAATATTCATGATGTACTGAATAAATGAATTTTTAAATATAAGACTTCCAACATCAGTAAGCCTTTGGTAATTATTTTGTAACTGATTAAGACATGGTTATTAAAAACTGTAATTCTTTGGTAATTTAATATATGTGGATATATATAAGAAAACAACATCAATAAATTATGAATTGGATAATCTTGGATAATCAGCAGAGAACATTTATCAATTGTCAAATTTATAGATTGAATTATCAAAACAGAGCATGCCAAGTATTTAGATAATATTGACAAAATTATGAAGAGTACTAACAACAAACAGTAGCTGACAACCTCCTATTCAAAAAAATAAGCAAAATTACAGCAAAATTACATGTTCATGTCAACGTGGTGAATTTAGTTTTTACCGTGAAAATGCCACATATGTTCTATTAAATCATTACAGAAGGCATGATATGCATCTTTATCTCTCATACCTAAATGACGAGACATAAATGATTGGAAGTCATTGTTAGGAGTACAGGAAAATTGTACTGATACGTCGATTGATGAAAGTTCATAATCGAAATCAAGGTGCTCCTCTCTCTCATCTTCGACAATCATATTATGTAACTCTTCATTATGTTATCAACTCTTCATTATGTTACCAAGCATTTTCGGATCCCAAAAACGTACAGCACACCTATAATTGCAAACCGAGATTAAAGCACTCTGAATGCACGCTCTGCATCCTTCCTTGCTGACTCTTGCATCATTGCAAAATATTGCTTCTTTGCTCCTAGGGAAGAAGAGATTGTTTGAACCAGTGTTGCCCATTGAGGGTATATACCATCAGCAAGGTAATAACCCATATTATAACTGTGTCCATTAATAGTGTAATGGACAGGGGGAGCTTTATCTTGAGCAAGATTAGAAAATAAGGGCGATCGATCCAACACATTCAAGTCATTGTGTGATCTAGACATTCCAAAAAATGCATGCCAAATTTACAAGTTATAAGAAGCTACTGCTTCGAGAATGATGGTTGGCTTTTTTTGATGGCCTATGTATTGACCTTGCCATGCCTTCGGACAATTTTTCCACTCCCAATGCATGCAATCTAAACTTCTCAACATATCCGGAAACCACCAAACCTCCCCAATAACAAGTAATTTAACAATATCAGTTGGTGTTGGAGATTTCAAATATTATGGTCTGAAAATTTCAATTACTGAATTACAAAAATGTTGCAAACTTTGAATTGCAGTGTTTTCCCATCAACTGCATCTGTTGTCACTCCATATAGCAATATTCTCATAGCTGAAGTCATCTTTTATAGGGGAGACAATCCAAGAATATGAGCTGCACCTTGTTTTTGAACAAAATATGGATTGTATGCTTCGATGGCATTCAAAATTCGCAGATACAAAGGACGACGCATTCGAAAATGTCTCCGAAATGCTGTAAGTGAATAAACTAGATTTTTCGCAAAATAATTCGCAAACAATCACTCATGACCCTTCCTTCTATCACGATGTATGTACTTATGGCCTACAACAGAACCATCTTTTTTCTTTGATCTATCAGTTGATTACAACATCTGAATCATACTAACATTATTCATCTCATAAGCCCCCAAAAGTGTGACCATATATTCATCATTAGACTCATCATCAGAGGATGAGGAAGAAGAAGAGGATGAAAATGAAGTGAACATCATGGAATTTAAGATACTCATTATGCTCTGCTTTCTTTCAGTAATGTGCCTTTCAGATATAACGTATCACTTGTCTGGTATATGGTACATGGATAATGTGTTTATATCAGGTTTTGGAAGGTTTTGGAAAGAAATCATTATTGGAGGCAACCAAAAATGGAAAATATGTAATGGAGGGAAAAATAAATAATAAACGAATTGGGAACAAAAAGGGAGGGGGAAAAAAAATTGAGTTGCCTACCTGGTCGACCCATCGGACGTCCCCTTTCCTTTGATGTACGCTACAGTGGCATGGTTGGAGCTACTCGTACCAGATTGAGAAAATTACTTTTTTCTTACTCAAATTTGGTGAAATTTTACTGAACCGTTGGAGATGCTCTAAGAGTATCCGCATCAAACTAGCTAAAGTCGTTTTTTAGCTAGTTTGCTGATACTGTTCATCAAAAACGAGCATCCATCAATCTCGTTACAATATGTCACTAATTTACGAGCGCTACAGCAACTTATTACAATAAGCGAGGTACGGTTCATCGCTATAACATGGAAATTAGTGTTACCGGATGTTCGGCCACAAGTCCAGCCGGTCAATCGGTCAACGACCTTTTTTTTTCTTTTTTCTTTTTTGCATTTTTTAAGAATTGTTTGGCTGGTAACTCATCAATTTAATTAAAAAAATAATAATAATAATAACAAACACAATAAAAAAATAATATTTTAATAAAATTAAATTAGAATAGAGAGTTTGATGCAGTAGGTACTACAGAGGTGACTAGTTAAATTGGAAGGAAATCATTATTGGGGGCAACCAAAAATGGAAAATATGTAATGGAGGGAAAAAGAAATAATAAACGAATTGGGAACAGAAAGGGAGGGGGAAAAAAAATTGAGTTGCCTACCTGGTCGACCGGCCGGTCAACCCATCGGACATCCCCTTTGCTTTGATGCACGCTACAGTGGCACGGTTGGAGCTGCTCGTACCAGATTGAGAAAATTACTTTTTTTTTACTCAGAGTTGGTGAAATTTTACTGAACCGTTGGAGATGCTCTAAGAGTATCCGCATCAAACTAGCTAAAGTCATTTTTTAGCTAGTTTGCTGATACTGTTCATAAAAAACGAGCCTCCATCAATCTCGCTACAGTAAGTCGCTAATTTACGAGCGCTACAGTAACTTATTACAATAAGCGAGGCAATGTTCATCGCTATAACACAGAGATTAATGTTACCGGATGTTCGGCCACACGTCCAGCCGGTCAATCGGTCAACGACCTTTTTTTTTCTTTTTTCTTTTTTGCATTTTTTAAGAATTGTTTGGCTGGTAACTCATCAATTTAATTAAAATAATAATAATAATAACAAACACAATAAAAAAATAATATTTTAATAAGATTAAATTAGAATAGAGAGTTTAATGCAGTAGGTACTAAAGATGTGACTAGTTAAAATAGTAAAATAGCTTTTTTAGCTATAATTTGACTAAAAATTTAAAGAGTTTGATGCGGATGCTCTAAAACCATTTCCTGGTTAGTATTACAAAGAAGAAACAAATCAAAAAGAACCAATAACCACTTTAACAAGCATTCCCCAAGAGACATTTCATATATACTTTGTCTAAGGCTGAACAAATGAAAAATCAATACTATGAGATTCTTCATTTTTGTGGGGGTGATGGTGATGAAGTTGTTGTGTTGGATCTTGGGCACCACCACTATGGCTAGAGATTTCAGTTTCAGAGAGCTCAGGATCAGATTGGTAAGACCTTGGAGAATTGGGAACGCTTTCGCGTTCGGCTCCAGCACTAGACCTGTACTTGTGGTTGTGGAGCAAATGTAAGGGTGATGAAGCATGGCTTGGTGTATTCTCTCCAGAAATGAACCCCGATGAATTATTAGAAACATCTGCTCCTCTTCCTCCTGCTTTTCTTTGTTTCTTTCTCTCCTTGGCTGCCTTTTGCCATTTCTTCAGAGCCTTTGCAGTCTGCTCCTCAAATATTGCTTGCTTCATGTGAGATCCCATCTACATATTCACAACCATGTATGGATCAGAGTTAGGAGAACTGTTTCTGAAAACAACCCATTTTTTTAGAAAACACCAAAAACTCCAACAAGACCTCTCCAATTGAAAGTCCAACTAGAGACAATCCATTTCTTTTGCAATAACTGTGTTTCGCACAAAAAATGAAAATAATATGTTAACATGAGTTTTTAAAAAAATTCTAAATTTGCAGAGGTGATGAAATAAGAAGCTACTTACTTGAGTGACTAAGGCATAAAGAGGAAAGGTGATATAGCTGCACACGAACTGAAGGGCTAACCCAAGTAGAACTCTTCCCAAAATTGCAAATAAGTTTTCATGGAAGCATGAATTTATCCCAAACTCGTACTGCATTTATTTATTTTTTTGAATGTACAAACAGTTAAAAACAATAAATTGTTACAGTTCAATTCGTCTCTCTCTCACACACTAATCAAAAGAAATAAAAAGTGATAAATCTGATGAAAACATGATACTAGCCAGTAAATTGATTTGGAATAAATTACCCATGTCCATAAGAATAACGCCATCTGGAATGCATTCTGTGCAAAAAGAAAGATCAAGTGTGAGATTAGAAATGCCTCAACAAGCTACACGAAAAAAAATATATTATATGTCCAAATACGTAAATCCCATTGTATAGATAACCTGGAACAAGGTAAAATGAATCAAGATGAGGATCCACTGGGGTCTATTAAACCAGAAAAACCTGTTGCTTGGTTCCACAACCGGGGCTCCTCTAACTACAGTTGCTCGATCTTCAATTTGTTGAGCCAACTCCATTATAACTAGTTCTAGTTTTGTGCCCACTAACAGAAGTATCTGAACATCACACAAACACACAAATATAATTATAGAATTAGCAGAAAACATGCGTTTTGTGAGGATCGATGCAATAGAAAAAGCCCAAGTGCATTGAGAAATTTAACAGGATGAAACATAGATAACTTATGTGAACATGTCTTACTTACAATGAGTGGCACTAATGAGATCCAGGCAAGCGTGTACCAGCCTACACAAGTTTTAGAGGATAAAAATTATGATTTTATATAATCATGAAAGACTAAAAGTGAATTTGGTCTGATATCATCAAACAGAAACAAAGATGTTTGCTTACTGTAAACATTCAGCAGCAGTAAGACGACAGCAAAAACCCACAGTGGGAAACTGCAAAATCAACCCAAAAAATAAAATAAAAAATCATTAGCATATAAGTGTCTTGGTAGATTCATTAAATGATATTCCCAAACCAGTGAGGAATGCAGTTGACAATATTGAAAGAAGAAATTATAAAGTTACCTTATTCCCACCACCACCTTGAAGTCATCTTCCATGGATCTCTTAATATATTTGTGGAAATTAAATTTGGTATTTGGAGCAAAATGTGCCTACATACATATATTTATCAGACTTATTAATCTGTTGGGACATACCAGAATTGGTCATGCATATAATTAACATTTTAAAAAGGACTTTAGTGTTTGGGGTTGCTTCTAGGGGTGCTCATGTTAAGTATCAAATGATTGATGTGTTGTACTTGAATTTGATAGTGGATTTATTAAATTGTTCAATTTAAATCGAACATGTCAATCGTTTGAGATACAACTTGAAAATCCTGGGGAATTGAAGAAGCCCACTTACGTTGATAAACCCATTGCGCATAGTTATATAATCCACCTTTGACACCGAACCAAAGAATTGCCTGAAGAATGCAACCTGGAATAAAAATTATAATCCCATATCATGCTTTGAAATTAGACAATGTGCTATGATATTTTGAACAATTCATAATTACTCTGAGTTATAATCTTACAATCCATCTGATCCCAGGAGTTCTGGAAAATCTAGTATGACGTCTCACAAATGAAGTCTGATGACTAAACCTAAATCTTGCTGGATCTGTTTAAGAAAAAAAAAAACTCATCAATAATATTACAAAATCAGAAAAAATTACTAAAAAATAAAAGGAAAATGTTTGGGACTCCTTTTGGAGATGACGCCCACATCCCGAAAGCGATCACAGCCCTCCATGTATGTGTAAGGTTTATTCATACATCATGAGTAGTTCAGATTTATAGAGGTCTTGTGGGAGTGGGAATCTTAATCATTGCTCAAAATAAAATATGTGAATTACATTTGTCCTAAGTGTAGCACAACAAATTACACACTTCATTTTCGGGCAATTTTTCAAACTATTTTTTGGGAGCCCAACAATTAACATTAATCAGCCCCTGGAGATTTCGGTCCATAATGTTGCCATTAAGCTGAGCCGTTAAGTTGGCCCTATTTGAAATTTACGAAGGCCCAAACTTAGGCCCAATCTTCATATAAAAAAAATAATTAAATGAGAACTGAGAACAGGAAGGAATTACCATTGGTGAATTGATATTCCAAAGACGACGTATCTGATTCCCAACCCTTCCATTTCTTCATCTGGTGAATATATAATAAATAAACTTGATAAACATGATAGCTTATTAATCAAAAGTATTTTAAGATAGGATTATCTTTATATGACTTGGGTGACATATATATGTAATATAATAATTGAACTTGTGGTAATGAAAGAGAAGGAAAAAATACTTACTTTGGCCTGAGCAAGAATCACGATGATGACACTGTAGAGGACATGAAAGACGGCCAGGACGAATATAAATATATGCAACTGGTGCACTCCTGAGTTTGAAACTAGTGATATTTTTCCCTAAAACACTCCACATAACAACCACCTTGAATTAAGACCAATAATTTTTTTTTCAATTGTATATGCAATTTAAATAAACACATAAAGCCCAATTTGACTTGTTTGGACTCGGAATTTTTTTTATTTTTTGTGGGATCAATTTCTACTTTTGTAGATGTATTTCAACACAAATACACACAATACTTACATCCATGTATACAGATCAAATAATGTAGAGGTGATCAAAAATTCATATATTGCGGTTTTAGATTAAATTTCGGCAAAATATATTCATAATATTTTTCTACAAGCATAAAAAGTGAAATATGAGATGAAAAACAAATATATACATATATTGTATTTACCTTAAGGTATAAAAAATAGAAACTGTGAAACAATCTACCCATTAAAATGGAATAGTGGCTATTTAAATTTTTTAAAAATCTAGAGACGAAATAACAGTTTTTTTTTTTTTCTTTTCTGAAATCCTAAAGGAGTATTGGGCTTACTTTTCCAGCACAATAATCCGTTTTTTCATCAGCTGCTGCCAAAACTCGGTGCCACATGAAATCTTGATCATCATATGTAGAAAGTAATTTTCTCTTCTCATAGAACTTCTTCGAACATGGAAGCATTGCGTGTCCCAGTTTCGCAGGAGTGCAGAACTTATCTTCGATATGTAAGTCGTGCTCACCGTAAGCAGCAGCGATATAAAACCTAACAGCATCAACTCTACATATATACCGAAAAAAACTAATCAAAACAAAATAATTATAACTTACTTTAATTTTCTTCAACAATAATAGCTAGTTACCCGCTTTAATTTTCTCCAATGCTTCACTCATGGCTTTCTTATGGCGTTTCTCGAACCACTGCCATTACAGAAAAGAAAGGGATCACGAAATGAGGGGGGGAAAAAAAACTTCAAAAAATTAATCGAGTTTTAATAGGTTTGTAACAAATGTAATACACTACCTTTTCGAGAGATTCAATCCCATGTTCGATTAGGATAGAGATAATCACAAACACGGCACACACAACAGCAACAGCCCACGTTGGAGTTTGCTCAAGTGACCTTTGTCCTCCATAACTAGACATGACTCTCTGAAAGTAATGCAACTTCTAGTAGGAAAAAAAAAAAACCAGCTCCAATACAAGCTTGTTCTACTGTACTATCTGTTTTCCTAGCTAGCCAGAGCAAATGGGAGTGAATAGAATTAAGACAAGGTCCTGAAATTTAAGTAGTTAGAGAAAACTATATACAGAAAGCGCGTTTTAGGACTGATGACTCATTCCATAATCTCAATTATCATATGTTCTTTGTTTGTACTTTGGGAATGGATATTAACTAAAAAGTTTGTTCATCCACACAAAATTTGGAAAAATATATGTATATATATAATTAAATTTAGCCGGCTATTGGCGCCAAAAACAGTGATTAGGATCAACCAATGATGTTGGAAATACGTCCCTGATGATAAAAATAATGATAATAATGATAACAATGCTGTAAAGAATTGGTCATATTTTAGTAGGTTTACTACTGATATGAGTGATGCTATTAATCATTTTTATGTTATCGGGTGTTAAAAGTTCATACTAGTAAGAACATGAGCAACACAGACCTTTAGGTGCCAAGCTCTTCAACCTTAGTTGGGTTTTTAGGTGGTTTTTGGTTGAGTTCTCATAATTTTTTTTTTAAGTTTTAGAACTTGGTTTGGCAAAAAAAAAAATGAAAAACACTTATTGTTTTCGTATAATTTTTTTTTTCTTTTTTTTTAAAAGAAATAAATTGTAAATTTTCAAATTCTTTGGGTCATTATTGTTCCTTTGTGAGGGTAGGTGGCCTAAAAGACATCGGAGCAATATATAAATTAGTGCTATATACCCGTTTTGTTTTTTTCTATCTTAACGTATTCCTATTGGTTCTAGTCTCTGGATGAATTTATGGCTGGTTCAGTCATCCTTGACTAGGTTTTTAATTCCATTATGTATGTACCCTAGTCCAAAACTATTTCCCTAGTGTGAGTTTAATTAATTAAAAACTTAATTTGATCAACTATTAGTCAACATGTTGAAGACTAATTCCTAAACATTTGAAAAAGTTAATTTTCAAAATATTCTGTTTGGATTTACTAACTATTTAGTAGTAATGCTTTGAGCATTGTTGCCAGTAAGGATCTTGCTGTATTTTTTGGATAAAAAAATGTTTGGGAATATTAATTTGGCACTATCAATCCATCTCTAATGATATGAAATGGACCATGTGAAGTGGTGGACTCGTACTCTTTTCTCTATCCACTACAACATATAAGAGTTTTAGAAATTAAATTTTTTAGTCTCTAAAAGTGAAAATTTTGTTGTAAAAGACACTTAGGAACCAATTTCTATTGTCATGAAGACAGTCGCTAAAAAGTTATACCAAAAAGTAAAAAATAAGACTTTTAGCGACAAAATTTAAAAAATATCACTAATAAATACACTTTTAGAAACAAAATAATTTGGTCTCAAAATGATTTATTTTTTTAGATAAAAAATTTGGTCCCAAGAAGATAATAATTCATTGTTAATGTCCAATTTTTGTTACTAAAAATATAATAACACTGTGGGAGCCGATTTTAATCAATGGAATTAAAGGCCCAAAAGGAAGCCCATTAGGAAATAGGGCCGTATACAAGTTGGCCATATCCAGAAGCCCACGGTCAATGGGAACAAAGCCATGGATAAGTCGGCCTTCCACGTAGCTGATAGGACCAAGGTTGTATATAAGTCGACCTTGTTCAAGAGCCTAGTGAATAGGCTATAGCTAAATAAGAGTTGAATTGGATCAAGCTTAAAAGTTGACTTAGTCAAATATCCCACGGGTCATATGGGGGCCCAACTACGAAGCCAGAATGTCTGAAAGGGAGAAATTGGCCTGCGGGGCCTAAGAGAACAATATAAAAGAAGGAGTCTCTATCAAGGAAAGGTATGTGTGAAATAGAGCAGATAACTTGTAAGTAAAGTAAAGCTTAAAAGAATATTGACTTGCTCGTTGGAGTGTTAATTCTGACACCATCGATTAGAGCGTTTGTTTCCCTTTCAGGTATTCACTCAAGGCTCAAGAAGGTCTGTCTGGATCAAAGAGTATTCCCGAACCCTTTCACCAAAACAAAACTTTCAGCAACAAAAATATTTGATCCCTAAAAAATAATTTTGTTCCTAAATTTTAGACTCTAAAATCTTAATTTTTTTTAGTGATCTCTCTCTATTCTCTCTCTTTCATCTCATTAAGAGTAAATTAGGAATATTATATGAATAATGGTAGATATACTAATTAATGTACTAACTAGTATACTAACAGATAATGTTGCATAATTTTAGAGGTTTTGAGTATTTATAATTTATATAATATGTGGGATGAATAATAATAATACAACACTGGTTGGAGAAATTTTAGCACCACTGATATTATATTAGTGAGATGTAACATGATTATTCTTGGATATTAATGCTTATATATAGTTAGATCCTAACTTGTTTCATTTTGGGTCAAATCTGTTGGGCTTAGAAGTTGAGCCCACGTTGTGCCAGTACCAGATCATGAACTTTGTCACTTCATGGCCCGCGATTTCGTACGGGTTTATTTTATTTTTATTTTGAATATTTTGTTTTTATTTTTTTTGTTTTAAAAAATAAGAGTGAGAAGTTTAAAAATATTAATATGTTTATATGGTTTTAATTTTGTATGAGAACATACAAATTTATATAATTCAGAAAATAACAGCAACAAAAAAAATGATTCTTTTTTAAAAGAAAAAAATAGTCTTCAAAACAATTTATCAGTGTTTTCTTCTTTTCTATTTGAGAAAAAAATTTATGGTTGCGTTTGGTGGAGTTTTATAATTATGATTTGAAAATAGAATTGTATTTTGAATTTGTGAGTTTTGAAATTATGATTTGAGTATGAAAAATTTGTTTAGTTATGAGTTTGAATTGAGTAATGTGACATATGATATTTTATTCAAAAAATTACAACTCATAACTAAATACACACTCAAAATTCTATTCAAAGCTCATAAAAAAAATTTAAAATTTTTCCAAAAAAGTGAGTGTGGAGGATGACCGAGTAGTCGTATTTTGAAAAGTAAGTGTGGAATTAATTTTTAAAAATTGTAAACAAACAAAGCACTCAAATCATGTTATGGAATCTTGTTTGAAAAGCTCCACCAAACACAACTTATATTTTTCACTTTAACCTACCATCGATACTGACAATAAGTCAAATACGCCACCTGTGTGTTTTTTCTTAATATATCTCTCTCCGATTCAGTATTATATTATATAGGTCTTATTTGTCAACTATATATTTTAACAAAAAATCACTATAAGTTATCACATCACTTTCTTTATTTTTCTGCATATATTTTCATAAAAAAATTAAAAATTACTAAAATAAACTATTTGCAAATGAGACTATAATATATATTAAAACGATATGAGCCATTTATTATTAATAAAAAAATAATTTAATAATCTTAATATCACGATTTTATCACATTTGAGTCCGTTTTATATATAAGAAAAATGATCAAATCATATAGTTATAATTATTTATTTTATTTTATTTATAAATAATTCAACACTTACACCAAACAGATTAACATCTTTTGATTAAATTCATAATTTACAATCTATTAAATTATAATATATAATCTGTTTTAATAGTTATATCAAAACAGGACCAATAACTCGTATCAGCTTAACCCACCCTGGTGTGGGCCGAAAAAATTAGACTGGATGGGTCACAAGCCCAAATGCAGATGCGATGACTTCTTTCTCTCTCTCTCTCTCTCTCTCTCTCTCTCTCTCCAACACGTACGTACGTACATACATACAATACAATACAATACAATACGATACGATACGATACAACACACAATTGAGGCTGCTACTGATCTCTTGGGAAATCAAGTCCCTAAACGATGACTGCTCTATCGAATTCGTTGGTTTTGACAAACCCTTGTCGACTCCATTTATCATCTGGTAATTTTTTTCTCTGTAACAATGATCGATCCTTGTAATCATTTGTTGATCTCTCGTATTATTCATACTCATCCAACTTTGATCTTTAATTTCCAACCTGTTGCCTAATGCATTCAATGTTGAACTTTTAACACTCTTTAATTCCAAAGATTATTTTTTATTTTCATTCGTAAGATTAATTTGTATCATCGTTCCTTTCTTTCTCACGCCTTTTCTTTTCTTTTTCTTTTTCTTTGCAAGAACCACTTTTCCAAGACTTGATTTTTTTTTTCAAGAACCAGACAGACCGACTTTCACTTTTATAGATTGATGTATGTAATTTGCAAATGAGATGGGTGTGTGTGTGCTAGTTCTGTGATCAATTCAAACTGTTTGAAGAACAGATTATGAAGGCCGCCTCTATTCAGTGACAGTTAACCAATCTGTTCATGACCTTAATGTATCTTCTATCACTTATTGTTGTGATAGTGGGTATGTTGAGAATGACAAGTATCGGCTTTGTGTCCAGAAGAATGCTTGCCACATTTATGAAATGCCTTGTTTGTTTGATCACCATCCTGAGTTTTACTTTTCTATTTACTTTAATTATTATGGTGAAAATCTATTCTAGGCTTTCCTTTGAAGTCAGTGGACCTTTTTCTTGGAAGTTTGGGCCCCAACAACTCGTCCTTCAGACCCATTCAGATAGGGAAAACACAAATTTCCACCTGTAAAAGGGCACTTACTGTTCAAGCTGGATACGGGTATAATTATACATGATTATGTTTTGTAAGTTACGTGCATCACATATGATTTCTGACCCTTTTTCTGGTTTTATTGAAGTGCGGAAAACTCTTATAATTCGGAATTCTAACTGACAGTCTCCTGCTTGCTGTGTAATTGTAGTAATGGAGGAAGGCCAGGACATGCAAGTACCTTTATTGGTGGCTTTGTTTTGGGAGGACTAGTTGTTGGCACACTCGGTTGTGTATTTGCACCTCAGGTCCTACTTGTTTACTTATGTTCTTGTCATTTCAAATAGTCCAATTGAATTTTTATGTATTTGTTGTTCTGTTATGAAGATGATTATTGGTTCCAATCGGTGCTCTTTGTGGGCTTTGAATCTTTTAACGATTCCTTTTGATAGCCACAGTTAATATGAACTCTTATGAATTTCTTCATTGGGCTGACAATATTTGTTGTTCTTCAGATCAGTAAGGCACTGGCTGGAGCTGATAAAAATGACTTAATGAAGAAATTGCCTAAATTTATATTTGATGAAGAAAAAGCTTTGGAGGTGAGCTTCTTTCCATCTTAATATCTTGTAAATACTAAAATTGGATTGTTATCACTAGGATCCATTCTGACACAAATAAACATGGCCATGTTGCTGAAATATGTATCATATGGAACTTAATAGGCCTTGCAGTCATTGGTTAGAATCAAACCTCGTGTTGTAGTTTGGTCAAGTAAAACCATGCTTTCCAGCCACTGAATGGTCCTGTTAATGTATGTTTCTGAGTTCCTTCTTTTACAACATGCTTATCTGTTAGCTCATTCGCAGAAAACACGCAAGGTACTGGAAGAGAAGATAGCACAGCTGAGCACTACTATAGATAATGTTTCTGCTTCGCTCCGATCAGAAGATGCCCCAAATGGAGCGGCTGTGGATGCAGATGAACTAGAAGCGGCCATATAAGAATGCTCATGTTTACTTTTTTGGTATCACTAGCTTCCACCTCTATTAATTGTCAGATTAAGAAATAGTACTTTAATTTGTTGTGTTTTTTCCTTCCTTCTTGACAGTTAATGTAGTGGTTTCTTTTTATGTGGCGGTTCTGTGCACGACTAAACAAAACATTGCTCAACATCTGGGCTGATTTATGTATTAGCTGATATTCCATCTTGGTGTTTGAGATTTGTTTCTCCTGGCCAAGTATTTGCAGCTGAAAGAGACATTGAACATTATTATTGTCAATTGGTCCATACATTTTCCAGCTTTGTACTCCAAGTTCTGTTGCTAGAAGAGCTATTCTTCTAAATCACACCTTTGCAGTTGCAGGAAGCTTCACGATCACTCATATCCATTGTTGATTATTGGAAATTTAAGTTGGTAGATTGGTGGTCCGTTGCAATATGTTCGGTTGATTTATGGTTGTTGACCTCCCACAGTGGGAACTATTGTTAAGCGGTTTCAATGAGTAGCAAGCTTACCTTTCTTTATCTATTTTCAATTTAAATCAAAATAAAATCAATGTAAGATTTTCGATTTTTGAGATTGAATCTTTCATTCTGCATTTCATTGCAGCCGGTTCATGTACAACCTTAATTATCGGAGCCTTTAGTTGAGGAAGATGTTTTTTAGTTGGATTATATGCAACGAGTTTATTTATTTATTTATTTATTTTGTGGATATTTGAACAAGAAATAATTTTTTAAACCATACTGTGTTGGAGCTTTTTAAACAAGAGTTATTTATTTATTTTAACAATAATTTTTTTTTCTGGACTTCTAAATAAAGATATTTTTTAGATATTGAACAAAGAGAATTGAAGTCAGGCCATTTAAAATCGGGGCCTTAAAGTGAGCTTAAGCGGGCCCCGTATATTATTCAAATCTTGACATTGTATATATATATATTACGTACAATCGTTAGGAAGGAAATGGGGAAAGGGGAAGATTGCATCGCGTAATGGTAAGATTTGAAATTGAAAACATCAGGAATGAAAAAGGGGAAGAAAAAGTTGCATCGCTTGGCTGTAAGATTCAGACACAGATATCACATTCTAGCCTGACATTATTTGAGTGAGCATGACTGACCGGGGTTTGTAAGTTTGTATCCTTGACCTTAGTTGCTGCCTGGACAGATACATGCAGAATATGATTTTCCAATCACGGTCTTCCCCATAATTTCCTCGTAAGGTGAAAAGACAGATATTCTTCTCAGGAATGTTCTCCACCATCCAACAGCTTTTGCTTATGAGCTACCTCTATATATCCAAAACAATTGTGGTAATTAAGCAAGTCTGTCATTTTAAAGAAGATGGAAGGGCATACAAGGAACAAGGGGACGAGTGAACTATATGCATCTGTGGTTGAGATTTTGAAAATGAAGCCAAAACATGATCTTATCCCATAATCTCTCTTGTACCATTCTCACCCACACATTCCTTTTACTTCTTTTTTATTCAAAATTTTTGATGACCCAACATGCATGAGATATAACTGAAAAGAAAAAAAATTGGAGTCCAAACTGTATATCTGTAGTGAGGAAGTTATCCTCACAGTTTTAGTTGCAGCAGCCATGGCCACCCATGCAGCTCTGGCTTCTTCAAGAATCCCAGCTAACACTGGACTACTTCCCTCTAAGACCTCTCACTCCTTCCCCGCTCAATGCCTTTCTAAGGTCTCTCTCTCTCTCTCTCTCTCTCAAACAGTTTTTGTTGCTTTCCACTTTCTTATTTCTTTTTTGGGCGAACAGAGACTAGAAGTAGCAGAGTTCTCTGGGCTTCGATCTGGTGGATGTGTGACTTACGCCAAGAATGCTAGGGAGGCCTCATTCTTTGATGTGGTGGCTTCACAAGTTACCACCAAGGTAATCTTCTAATCCTTCTTTAATAATTTGTTCCACCTGAATTGGTTTTCTTGGCTAATCTATTGTAGTTCTGATGTTTTGTCACATACTTTTCTCACAACATTTTCAATATTCAACTAGCAAGGAAGTTGTCGGATCCATATCTTTACTTTACTACACTTTTTCTTGGAACAACTTTCTCATACAAAATTCCTGGTAATTGAACAGAGCATTGATTGGAAAATAAGTAGAAACTAATTTGGGTAGATTGATCTTTCCAATGTTCAGAAATTAAATTTGGCAAATTGTCAGGAGTATGAGGAAATCCAACGAATGTGAGGGAATTCAGATGAATCTAACAACAAAAGGAAAGTACCATATGTCAAGATTAGACACATGAATACCTTATTCAGACTTAATTGAACAAGGGACTATGATGTTATGAGTTTTGTTGACCTTACATGCTTATAAAGTGAGTAAAGAACACAAGAGGTTGGTTAGATATTCCTTGCTCTAATTTAGCAGTGAGAGGTTGATTTTGTAATTTTCATATTAGACTGCAGGATCAGCCCCTGTTAAGGGAGAAGCAGTGGCCAAATTGAAGGTGGCGATTAACGGTTTTGGACGCATTGGCAGGAACTTCCTCAGGTGCTGGCATGGCCGCAAGAACTTGCCAATCGATGTTGTTGTGGTTAACGATAGCGGCGGTGTGAAGAACGCGAGTGGCTTCATGATATTTTGGAACATTAAGTCAGTAGTTGAAATTATTATTATTTTTTATTTATTTTTTACTAACTAATTTGCATTGCAAATATAGGCATCTCACTTGCTGAAATAGGATTCGATGCTTGGCATTTTCAAGGCAGAAGTGAAAACAGTAGACAATGAGACCATCAGTGTCGATGGTAAGCCCATCAAAGTTGTCTCTAACAGGGACCCTCTGAAGCTCCCTTGGGCTGAGCTAGGCATTGACATTGTGATTGAGGTATATAACACCTAATTATCAATTCTCAGGTTCCAAAACAGTCCTTTAAAGCTAATTAAATCATGCGAAGCGAACTACAGGGAACTGGTGTGTTTGTGGATGGTCCCGGGGCTGGGAAGCACATCCAAGCTGGTGCCAAGAAAGTTATTATCACTGCTCCAGCAAAAGGTGCTGACATTCCCACCTATGTCGTTGGAGTAAATGAAGGAGACTACGACCATGATGTTGCTAACATTGTAAGGTTAGTAATTTGCTAAATTCTAAACAAGAAAAAACTATTCATTGAAGTTAGTGGCATTACTTCTGTATATGCTTTGGTTTTAAAACAAACTTGATTGGAAATTTGATAATTGCAGCAACGCGTCTTGCACGACAAACTGCTTGGCTCCTTTTGCAAAAGTCATGGATGAAGAACTTGGTAAGCATCCATTTTGTTCACAGTTTCAATAATCCGTTTTAGATTTTGTGCCTCAATTGTGATTAATATTGTTGCCCAAAGTGACATCTTCCTGGTTCGATTTGCAGGTATTGTCAAGGGAACCATGACCACCACTCATTCCTATACGGGTGATCAGGTAATCACGCATACATGTAAAAAGGGTAAAATTTTAAAAATCCACTATGTTAATAGTAATTATGTTATTGATTGTATTGTGTGTAGAGACTCTAAGATGCCTCACACCGGGACTTGAGGAGAGCCAGAGCTGCAGCACTTAACATAGTCCCAACGAGCACAGGTGCAGCCAAGGCAGTGTCTCTGGTGCTACCACAGCTCAAGGGCAAGCTCAATGGTATCGCTCTGCGTGTGCCCACACCTAATGTATCTGTTGTTGACTTAGTTGTGAATGTCGAGAAAAAGGGAATTTCTGCTGAAGATGTCAATGCAGCCTTTAGAAAGGCAGCAGACGGGCCATTGAAAGGTATATTGGCAGTGTGTGATGCCCCTCTTGTGTCGGTGGACTTCAGGTGCAGTGATGTTTCGACTACCATTGATTCGTCCTTGACAATGGTCATGGGAGATGACATGGTCAAGGTGGTGGCCTGGTATGACAATGAATGGGGATACAGGTCTGGATTATATAAACACTGGACTTGCTAGCCACTTGTTCAAAATATTCATTGGCTTGAAATTGCAGGAATTGAAAATTCTATTAAGCTGTGTTTGGATTATGAATTTGGAGAAGGATTTTTGCAATCTTATCATTACCACCCACCTCCACCATCGCACCGCCACCGCCACCCTACACTGCTCCCATCACCATCACCACCACCTCCATCTCCTCCACCACCACCACCACCGTGCCACCTCCACCTCCATCACATCACACTAATAATACAACCGCTAGCACATTAGTTTCAAGATAGCAACCAAACATACAAAAATGTTTTTTATGGAATAACAGTTCTGAAAAATTTCTCCATAGAAAATGTTTTCATTGGAAAATGTTTTATGCCGAATCAAAACAGAGTAATTTCTGTTGAGTTTAGAATGTAATTGTATTGTAATGGCTGTGTTTTGTGTCTTTTGTAGCCAACGGGTTGTAGATTTGGCACATCTGGTAGCAAGCAAGTGGCCAGGCATGCCTGTACAAGGAAGTGGAGACCCATTGGAGGATTTTTGCAAAACCAACCCTGCTGATGAGGAGTGCAAGGTGTACGAAGCTTAAACTGTTTGCATTTTTCTTTTTTGTTCAAGGCTTGCGAAAAGTAATTTCGTTAGGAGCCAAGAATTTTCTTGCATCACTTTCACTAAATGCTTGTTTTGTGATCATGAACAATAATTTTAATTAACGGAGTGCCTTGTAGTTTTGAATACCATTGGAATCTTTTATTTATTTATTTTTGTGTCTGCGAAAACCATGAATGCTAAGTCCTTGCCCCGTTCTTGGAGTAATTTCACTGATTTTGTCTTGAACCCAGATAATAGATAATTATGTTCTCAACTTGGCAACATGGCTCTCTATGTCTTGACAAAGGAAACAAATCTCTCAATCCATATTTGAATTCCTAATGAACTGGTTTTAGTTCAGCAGATTAAACCACAGGCTAATATGAGGGGATGTAAGAAAAATCAAAAAAACTGATCAAACCGGTTGAATCAAGCCGAACTAGCTATTTGATCGGTTTTTTAATATGAATCGGTCTATGTGACTTTTAAAATTAATATTTTTTGATTTTTAATTCGGTACCGGTTTAGGCATTTTGTGTACTAAATTAAACTGAAATTGATTGAAAGTTTTTCATATTAAACATAATATATATTAAAGCCTCGTTTGAGAATAGACTATTTTAGTAATTTTTTGATTTTTTACGAAAAGATGTACAAAAAAGTAGAGAGAATAATGTGACAACTTATAGTGACTTTTTGACTGTTTGGCTAAAATGTATGGTTGACAAATGAGGCCTTAGTATATAATGAAATTAGTTGAGTGCAAAGTTCACTTAATTCACTTAATTGTTTATTTTTTCTTAAATATTCTAAGTTTGACAATAGATATTGACAATGTAATAAGTTATTAGTTTGCCATTCATATGTGCTTCAGCCAAGTTTTGCTACTACTATCCTTATATAGTTATAGTATATGTTTATGTCGTTAACAAATTTTTTGTTTTAACTCTACTTGACAGACTTGTGATTTAGTCTTATGGGATAATGATTTTAAACTTTGGTTTTGCTTTGGTGTCATGTTTGGTATGCTTTTGAGAAACAAATTTTGGAGAAATTTTTTCAAAATTTTGTTTGGTTTAATGATTTTGGAAAAACAATTTCAAAATTATTTTCTCTTTCTTACAC